AAAGCAGTTTTTCTTTTTTAGAACAATCATTCCTGCTTTAGGGACATTTTTCCTGCTTTAGGGCCATTTTTCTTGTTTTAGGGCCATTTTTCTTGTTTTATGGTCATTTTTTCCTGTTTTAGGGTCATTTTTCCTGTTTTAAAGCAGTTTTTCTTTTTTAGAACCATCTTTCCTGCTTTAGGGACATTTTTCCTGCTTTAGGGACATTTTGCCTTTTTTAGAGCCTTTTTTTTTTTTGTTTTAGGGCCATTTTTCCTGTTTTTTGGTAATTTTACCTGGTTTAAAGCAGTTTTTCTTTTTTAGAACAATCATTCCTGCTTTAGGGACATTTTTCCTGCTTTAGAGCCATTTTTCTTGTTTTAGGGCCATTTTTTCCTGTTTTAGGGCCATTTTCCTGGTTTAAAGCAGTTTTTTCTTTTTTAGAACCATCTTTCCTGCTTTAGGGACATTTTCCCTGTTTTAGGGCCATTTTTTCCTGTTTTAGGGCCATTTTCCTGGTTTAAAGCAGTTTTTTCTTTTTTAGAACCATCTTTCCTGCTTTAGGGACATTTTCCCTGTTTTAGGGCCATTTTTTCCTGTTTTAGGGCCATTTTCCTGGTTTAAAGCAGTTTTTTCTTTTTTAGAACCATCTTTCCTGCTTTAGGGACATTTTCCTTGTTTTAGGGCCATTTTTTCCTGTTTTAGGGCCATTTTCCTGGTTTAAAGCAGTTTTTTCTTTTTTAGAACCATCTTTCCTGCTTTAGGGACATTTTTCCTGTTTTAGAGCCATTTTTCTTGTTTTAGGGCCACCTTTCCCTGGTTTCAGTCCATTTTTCCTGCTTTAGGGCCCCATTTCCTGCTTCGGAGCCAATTTTTCCTGGTTTAGCCCATCAGAAGCTGAAGAAGGCACGCAGGCAAGGCGAACCCAAGGACCAGCCCAACAAACACAGCCAGGACAAAGAATTCCCAGCGGGAATCAGGCAGGATGAGAGAACGCTGCCATCCTTCCCTCCCTCCCTGAACCCCCCACCAAGTTCTGGAGATGTTTTCTGGTGGCCAAACCCCACGGAATTAAAGGTTGAGCAACTCTTTAACTCCATCCATTTATTCCCCGGCCACTCGTGAGCTCATCCCCACGCCCAGACCCTCCCCAGCGCTTCCTCCCAGTTGATCCCGGGAATTTGGGAAGGAAGGGAAGGAATCCTGTGCCAGGGCTGGGCTGGGGCCATCCCCACGGGCGGATCTCCACGCGGCCGCGGAGAATCGACGCCCAACCAAAGGGGACGGGGCTTGGGCGGCCTCGTTCCATTCCCAGCTCCTCTCCCTTCTCCTCCTCCTCCTCCAGCTTTTCCTCCCACTCCCGTGGAGTTGCAGGGACTTTGTTCCCTGGCCCCGAGCCAGCTCCCACTAATTTACGGCTCCGTTCCCCCACGCGGAGCTCGGCATTAATTAACGCAGCCCCAAACGGAGCCCCCCGAACCCCAAGCCCAAACCCCGGCGCCCCAAAACCAGCGGGGTGGCGAGGCTGGGGAAGAACGGGGCCAGGCAGAGGCTGGGGCTGAGCGCCGGGGGAACATTCCGGCGGGAAAATAAATAAATAAAGGAAAAAAAGAGCACCCAAAATCTGTATGACTGAAAGAGGCACGTTTAAATGCAAACTCTCCATATGTGCAAGAGTCTGTCAAGAAATGTACAATTTCACTTTTAATTACTGTCAGGGGAAAAAATAACTAAGAAGGAAAACAAAATAAAAAAAAAAATTTAAAAAGAGCTCCTAAACACTGGCGAAGTGTCAGCGACAGAATTTAATTGGCGATCAGGTGTGGAGGGCTCTTGGTGGCCCCGAAGCCACCCTGTGGACATCAGGGAGCTCCAACCCCAAATCCTGCCTGCAGTGGGACAGTCCCCAAATTCCCACCTGGCTCTTCAGAGCTTCTCCAAAGGCTCAGCCAGACCCGATTTTGGGTGGCTGGGGGACACCAGGTGCTGACAGCTGTGGTGGCAATGGGGCTCTGCCCTCAAGGGCAGGTTTGAGCTGAATTTCCTAAATGTGGATAAATCTTCCCGCGAAGGAGGAAAGGCTCCAGCCCGGGGAAGAGGCTCCAGCCCGGGGAAGAGGCTCCAGCCCGGCAGCTGCTTTGCAGGGTGAGAATTCCAGGGGCTGGAGCTCTCTCCCTGGGCTGGAAATGGGGA